GGTTGCAGATCTTCTGCAGCTGCATCAAGACATGAAGAACACTGACGAAGTGCCCACTTTTTACAGCATCTTGGGTCCTGCCGAAGGAGAAGAAACCAGAGGCTCAAAGTTAGAAGAGTGAATTAAGGCTGAAACCTACAATGAACGGTTGCAGGAATTGGGCATGTCTAGTCTAGGAAAAAGAAGGACCAGGGTAGACATGAGAGCAGTCTTCCAGTATTTGAGGGGCTGCCACAGAGAGGTGGGGGTCAACCTGTTTTCCAAAGCACCCGAAGGCCAGACAAGGAATAATGGATGGAAACTGACCAAGGAAATAAGGAGGAATTTTCTGACAGTGAGAACAGTCAACCCATGGAACAGAAGTTTCCTTCGTAAGTTGTGGGAGCTTCGTCCCTGGAGGCTTTCAAGAAGAGACTGGACTGCCATCTGTCAGAAATGCTGCAGGGTCTCCTGCTTCGGCAGGAGGTTGGACTAGATGACCTACAAGGTCCCTTCCAATTCTGTTAATCTGTAACCAGGATGATGAGGTGACTGGAGGATGAAACCTACGATGAACGGTTGCAGGAACCGGGCATGGCTAACCATCGTTAATGGTTCTATGTTCAACTCAGAGACACCTACTCGGGCTGGAGGATGACGTCTTCGTACATCATTTTCTGCCGGTTGGAAAGCCGGCACTTGAGGACGTGTTCGTACTTCTTTGTCAGCTGCTTCTCCACGTCCCTTTTGGATCTGCGCAGGATGAATGGCTGGATCATCTGCAGAGGAGAGGTGGGAGGGAGGGAGAGGAGGAAGCGGCGGTGAATATTTTAGACGTTCAAGGATATCCCTTCGCACAAAGAGTAGCGGAAGCTTGGAAGCAACTTTCAGGGAAGTCGGCTGTTAGGAAATGAAGCTTAAATAAACATGCTGGGGGTAAACAGATGTCCATCATCCGGCCAAAAATGAAAAATAAAATAAAAATTAATAAAAATAATGAATTATTAAATTATTCAATTTGATAAAAATTAAAGGTGAAGGAGAAAAAGAAAAGGAAAGAAAGGAGGAGGAGGAAGGAAGTGACAATGAGAGGGAGGGAGGAAGGAGGGAAGGGACAATGAGAGGGAGGGAGGGAGGGAGGGAAGGGGCAATAAGAGGGAGGTATGAAAGGAACCAAGGGAGAGAGGGAGGGAGGAAGGATGGAAGGAAGGAAGGAGGAAGGATGGAAGGAAGGAAGAAGGGAGGGAGGGAGGGAAGGAAGGAAGGGAGAATGGGAAGGAAGGAAATAAACTCAAAGGGCAGTCTTGAAGCACCACTTTTTCTTCTGCCAGTTTTCTATCTTTCCAACATAACCTTTGTCAAATCCTATTGCCCTGGGCCCAATCCCAGCGCCTGGCTTGAGGGACTCACCCTGTGCAGCCTGATGACGAGCTTATGGCAGTAGTCTTGATTCTCCTCGTTGGCTGCTTTCACTGGGAAATCCAGGTAAGCTTTGGAGATTCCTGGAATCAGGAAGTGTACCATGGTCCACAGTTCCATCAAGGTGTTGTGCAGAGGGGTATCGATCAGAAGTAAGCGGTACTGACTGCAAAGAGAGGTGAGGGGGTGGGGGTGGCACAGTGTAAGCCCTCCCGGAGAAACAAGACAAAGAAACACAATCAAATGGCCTCCTTCTATTTTAGTGTAAGGCTACATCAACAGAATCTTGCAAGTCAGAAGGTCCAAACTTTCCATGGATACTTTTTTTAAAATAGTTNATCTATCTATCTATCTATCTATCTATCTATCTATCTATCTATCTATCTATCATCTATTCTCTCTCTCTGTCTCTCTCTCTCCCTCCCTTCCTCCCCAACCCACGTCACAGGATTGTTGTTATGGGGAAAAGGAGGAGGAAAAAAGGTGTGTTGGATAAATTTGCCGACTTGAGTTATTTCTAAAAATAATAGCAGTGGGATACAAACAAATGAATAAATAAATAAAAAGGGCTGCCCTGATGAAGCTTCATCATCTTAAGCACTCACTGAATTTGAGACCAAAGGGGAAAAAAACACAAACACACAACAAAGCAGCTTTATCATGCCCATCCTAACCACCCGCTGAATTTGAGACCAAAAAAAGGACACAGTCTAAACATTCTGCTGGAAATGTTGACTTTCAGCTCAAGCTGAAACCTTTAAAAAGAAAAGGATGATGAAAACACAGGTAAGAGGGGGTTTGCTTGAACACTTCAATACCCTCCATTCCAGATTTTCAAACAAAGCACAATCAAGTCATCGATCCAAAATGAGATTCTCTCACAATATTAGTGATCAAACTGGGATCAACCTCTTTAAAACCAAGTTTGGGGGTATGGGATTTAAGCATTTAAGCCCCAGGTCGCTTGCCTGGACCATCTCCAGAAAGAGCAGGACAACTGGCTGTCGTTCCATTTTTTAAGTCCCTTTCTGAAGTTCCAAATCAAAAGGGGGAGGGGGGAAAAAGGGGGGGTGGGAGAGCTTAAAATTAGGTTTTCTGAGAGAAATCCCATCAAAATGAAATCTGCCCAGTGTCACTTGCTGGTGAGATGAACAGCGTATGAAAATTTAACAAACGAAATAAAATGTCCGGGAATATCTCAGCCCAAGCAAACTCAACAAGAGCATCCTGCCTTGAAAACTCAGGAAGACACCCACCAAAACCTACCATGTTTTCCTGAAAAAAAGACAGGCTCTAATTTTCGTTTGACCCCCCCCCCCAATAAGCGCTTGGCCTTATTTTCGGGGAGGTCTTATTATTTTGGAGGTGCAGGAGGCCCCTTAACCTCTGCCCGCGGCTCAGCTGATCCAGAGAGGGCCGGAAATTCTGTCTCTGTTTCTGGTACACTCTTGCCAGCCCTAGGGTCACTGGGCGGGCTTCTATTTTGCGGCCGCCACTAAGAGAAGGGGTGTGGGAGCTAGGGTTTGTGGGCGTGGCCTCTGTGACTCTGTTCCGAATGGATGGCAGGTGCATTTGGGATGCATGGAGCATGTCCCCCCTTTCCTTCCCTATCCCCAAGAAATGGCAGGGACCGGATGCTCATGCGCTTAAATATTTTCAGGGAAGGCTTATTTTGGGGGGAGGGTTTATTTTAGCACGGGTTCAAATGCCCGATTGGGCTTATTATCTGGGGAGGTCTTATTTGGGGGGAAATCAGGGTAGGAGAGCACCTTATGTGTTGAAGAACCACAGAATTGGTTCACAATTCACAGAAGAACCTCAGAATTGAGCTTCCAAAATGCCAGCTCAGAACACATTCAGGAAACAGAGAAACCACTAAATGCAGCTCAAGATGAGTAGAAGGTCAAGTCAAAGACCTGGGAATCCTTCCATCCAAATCCCACGTGGACAACATCTCAACATCTGTAGACCCAACCTGGCCTGAGGTCCACAGCTGGAAATGCTGGTTGGAGAAGAAACAATTAGGTGGATCTACCCCAATCCTTGCCTCCAGTCTGATGACTTGTGTGCAGCTTCCTCAACATTGATTTCATCCAGATGTGCAGGAATTCCAACCTGGGCTGGTAGTTAGTGGTTGTGGTGAACCTCAACAGATCGGGAAGGCACCAGGTTGAGGAAGGCTGGTTTAATTCCAAGGACTGGTTTTGTCACGGGAGTGGGAGGGAGGGAGGATGAGCATGAAGGGGAACCGACCCACCCTTGTTGACAAGGAAGGAAACCGAGAAGGATCGCCGTTCTCACCTTGATTGGCAGATACCGTTGTCATGGGAGACCTTCCTCGCACTTGGGCCTGTTGAGCAACCGTTGCCGTACTGGTGGCTCGCTGCACTTGAGCGCTAGGAAAGGTGACCATCTTGCCTTCAGGTTTTTGTCCATACTGAACAGGTTGAAACAATCTGGAAAAAAGAAAAACCCAAGGACAGTTGGCTGCTGGGATGATTTTCCACAAAGTAATTTTGGAGTCATAGTAATAAAAAAAAAAGCAAGAAGTACCGTATTTTTCAGAATATAAGATGTACCTTTTCCCCTCAAAAAAAGAGGCTGAAAATCTGGGTGCATGTTATACACTGAATACAGCATATTTTGCCTAGCGAAGCCCCGCCCCTTCACCAAAATGGCTGTGCATAGCCTTATGGAGGCTTTCAGAGAGCTCCTGGGGGCTGGGGAGGGCAGAAATGAGCAAAAAAACAGCCCATTT